AAGACCGTGGTTGTAACGGACATGAGGTCCACCAAGATGGCCGCACTTGATAGGCGACGGGATGTGATCTATTTTCACACAAGTATTACATCGAATTAGTACACACCATAACCCATCATACACGGTACATTAAAATTTAAAAGTACAAAATATTATTTTATCATTATGGTGTTAAATATATTTTTTTTGCCATCGTTTCTACAAATCTCGAAAACTGGCAAAGTATCAGGAGAACATGATTGGTAAAAAGGTGGCACTATTTAAAATTCCAAGAATGTAATTGACACTTTCGAGAATTTCTAGAATCTGAATTTCCGAGAATCATTTTCTGAAAAATCGAAAACGGGAACATAATCAGCAAGGAGGTAGTACTGAAATTTCATAAATTTTCTAAGAGATTTCCAGAAATCATGATTTCAATAATATCTAAAATTGTAAGTTTTGAGAAAAACTAAACGTTGAATAACTATCACCAGAGAGAAACCTGAGAGCGGCTATGCCGTAGAATGGCGTAGAATTTACTTGGGACCGATTTTCGCCTCCAAGAGTGGATGTAAGAACTACGGAGACACATCTACTTATCGACACAGTCACTTTTTGGTGCGTGTCCGTGCTACATCCACTTTTCGAAATTTTTACAGTTTATTCCTTACATTAATACGTGCAAAATAAGACTAATTAAATTTAAATTGACTGTCTCAAAGTTCTAAAACAAAATATTTAAGTTTTCTATGTTGCATGAAATATTACGTGTAAAACACGTTAAAAATACTATTACACCTAGCAATATAATTCGTTGTAATATTATTACGCGTGAAATATTATTTACAATGCAAGCAATCGAATTCGCTATAAGAAAATTGGCGGATACTACGAATTCAATATTCGTCAATAAAATACCAAAAATAATCAGGAATTCATAAAATTTCGTTTTCTTGGAAACTTACTGACAAGCTTACAATGTACGATTTAATTCGCGCGTATTCATACGTAACAAATAAATGCATTTTGTACCAGATATAAAAAGAAATTATTGATATTTAATTTCTCGTAATCGATCTCATATGAAATGTGTACTTACGTTTCGTGCTATGATAGACCAAAGCTCGTGACACGATTGACCAAAATCCGTGGAATGATTGATGAGACTTCGTGGCACTTTGCATAAAGCCTCGTCTACATAGAAGTCGTAAAGTCGTAGTCGTAAGAATAGTCGACCATGATTGGTCAATTCTTATGTGTCTGACTGAATTGACCAATCGCAGTCGATTATTCTTACGACTGCGACTCTGCGACTCACATTGTAGACCCGGCATAACACCTCAGCACTAATCACACGCGACAGGAAATTAAGGAAACAAAAATATACGATTGCACAAAGTTACTATCTGCACTCGGTATTCCTTGTAAGTTAATCCGATAGTATGAATTTTAATCAACAGAAATCGGTGTATAGATGTCAAATTTAAACTATCGACGAGTAAATATATTACATCCCACGTAACACGTAATATTACAGTAATGTCACAGTAATATTACATTTCCAATGGAATATTACAATAAAATACATCAGAAATGTTACTGTAATATTATAATATTACTAATATATTACGTAATATTATGTGGGATATAATTAAGCACGGATAAGATTAATTGAGATTTAATTTTTCACTTAAACGTATCGCGACGATATTCGACACAAAGTTCTGCGATCACGCGATGATATCGTTGACCGATTATTCGCAGAGAGCGATCGCGGTTGCTTCCCGTACTTGTCGCGAACGCGTATTGAGAAAGAATGATACGATATGCGAAGCGGCGCGGACACAACCGACTCGTTCGACCGTTGCCGCGTGAATGAACTTGCGTACGGCGCCGTAAACACCTCGGCCGAAAAACCGAGCGCGGAATCCAAAAAAACAACGTAACGTAGTAAACAACTCGGTCGCCGGGCCGAGATTCCAAGAAATGACGTAGCACCCGACCTCGGTGAAAAACAATCTATTGAGCCGAATTAGTCCGCGCGGATCAGTCGAGCGAGACGGACGTTTCGTGTGTCTTCGCGTCGCGATCATCTTTTACGAGAATCTTGATCATCTACGCAACGCGATCGTCTCGTACAAGACTTGTTAACATTAGAGACGAATATCACGGGTCACTTATTCGAGACGCATCGCGCGAGCGAAATCTGAAGCCTCGTCTACACAGAAGTCGTAAGTCGTAGTCGTAAGAATAGTCGACTATGATTGGTCAATTCTTATGTGTCTGACCGACTTGACCAATCGTCGAGATTAGAAGAGACGCGAGTCGCGCTGTCGTTCGCACCGCCGATACGAACGTCACGGGACGATGTGCGCGATCGTCCCCCGCGCAGTTAAACGATAGCCACAGCCGTGATCGAGATCAGTTTGAATTCTCATCTCCTCGCGCGTGCAGTGATACCCGAGTTTCCCCACGTGTGATACGCGCGAAATCGCTCCGTCGAACGCACGCTTTCGGTTCCCTTTTTCACGACGCGCGTGAAGTTAGCTTCGCGTGTGTCCGCGAGTCCTACCCGCCGGAACGTTCCCGCTCAGCGAGAAATGACTCGTCCATCGATGTCGATCGCGCAATTGCGTCTCTCGCTCTCTCGTTCTCGGTGCAGTGACACCGGGAGTGCCGTGTCGTGCGTTACTTCGGTAATTAGCGCGCGCGATCGTAAGTAGCTCCTCTTTCGCGAGTGTAGTGTTGTGCTAGTGTGATATGAAGGAGTCTGAGAGGAGGCGGCGGCCTGGGAGGCATCGGGCGACGGCGGAGCAACTCTCTGGTGAGTAGAATTAATATAAATTGCTTATCTTTTCGTGTGCGGCCGACAGTGTCAAAGTGTGAGCGTTGACACGGGCGGTAAAACGCGTCCGGTATGACGCTAACTTTCGGAATCGGTACGCATTCAAAATGCATGTAGACCTGGCACAACCGGCTACTTCGATCTTTTCGCCCTATCACCGTTCGTTTCGCGCAAACTCTGACAGGTTCTCCGATCTCTCTATCTCGATGATCGACTACGGTTTTTGTTCCCTTTAGTAATCAGATTTACTAGTAGTATCGAATAATCTTCGGAAAATTGCTTCAAAGTCTTTAATCCGGACCGTATTTTATTTAGAAAACTTATTGTTTCAATACAACGGTAACTCGTGGATAGTCAACCCTGTGGTAGTTTCAAAGTCCCTTTTTACTTTTGACTTGTTAATTTTATTGTTGAAAATCCCTTGTTATTAATTAATTTATTGGTATTGTTGTATTACGTGTTTAATAATGTGATTTACATGAATACTTTATACAAATATTCTATACGAACTTATGTTACAAATGTTAGGTGCAGATGAGAGTTTCAAATATAATCCTAATATTATAATACTAATTATTCTAATTTGTGACGATTCTGACGCCAATTCAGATTATTCAAATACTTTGGATATTATATTATCATTAATTCGCAATAGTTGATACTGTACATATACATACGTATATAAAAAATATTTGTAACTCTAATACAGATGTAATACAAGTTATATAAATCGGTCCCAAGTAAACCTCTCTCTACGGTATGGCCGCTCTCAGGTTTCTCTGTGCTATCACAATATATGGAGAATGGGATAAGAAACAAGCGTGGTGTAAATGAAAAAATAAGTCAGATAATTGCAATCTGACTTTTATTATTTTAACTGGCTGCACCTGTTCAGCTACAAGGAACAGTCCTATAATTGAAACGCAGCTTTCCACCAATCCAATTAAACTTTGCTAGTGATCAAAATGGCCCCGCCATCATCCATCGCACGCGAATATCTAGATACGACACTTCTAAAGGCCTGTGTCCATTTACACCACGCTAGAACTTGGTCCAAGAGTTCCATCGACACAAAGCCCAAGTGTCCACTGATCGTGGATTTCTAAAACATGTAGGTGGGCCTTTAGTGCTCACCTAGATGTGCCTCCATTGCAGCGTGAGGAAATGAGCGTAGAGAAATCGACCAATGACAAGCTTGAAGTAAAAAACGCTATATTGTATATATTCTTTTACAGATAGAAAGAAAACGTATAAAACGTTTACTGTTGCACATATTTTAATTTACGTTATAGTTTCTATGTACAAAGAAAATAATTTTGATCATTATTACTGTGGTAAATTCCTTCTCCTCCGGAAAATTCATATCTTTCACGAAGATAGCTTAATCGGCTTATTAAACTGAATTGGGTTACTGGAGTCTGACAGACCGAACATTTCGCTTAAAACATTTAAAGCAGCTACTTCTTTGGCTTCCTGGATCGTTTGACCAAATCCTTAAAAAAAAAGATGGGAAATTTATCAGATCAAATGACGAAACATACAAGTAAATATTATCACAGAGTCTCATTTATCCGTCGTTACACTTACCTGAACCGAGGAATTGTTTGTCAGAATACATTGCTACGTGATACGTCACACAGAGAGTATTTTGCCCCGTTTGCCCGATAAGTCTTGGTTCGACAGGTGATTTGTTTTCTGCCTGCAGCAGGCCATTTAAAACTTGGACTGGCTGACCAGAATTCCATACTTCTGTCAGAACCTTCTCAGCCAATATACTAATCAGGAAGTCTCTAACAAACTTCGCCGCGTGATTCGCGTCTACACTTTCCGCAAGCACTGCAACAAGCGCGAGAAACGTGTCGGCTAACGTCTTTTGAGCCACTGGATGCTCCTGGGAGATTAATTGAAAGACGATTGAAAACATAACTTGGATATTGCCGCTAATTCGAGAAATAGATATTTGTCAACAGAATATATGTACAGTGATAGAACGGTTGCGACACTTTTTTTAATGAATTTAGAAACGTGCATTTAGATTCAGGTTTACATTGAAAATTTTACACGAGAAATAGATCGAAAAGGTTGAAAATGGTTTCAGGAAGAGCCATCGAGTAAAATGTTCCTCGGAGTAGATTTTGGAACGTAGCCCTGAATTTAAATGTACATTTCTAAACTCATTAAAAAGAAACTGCATCGATTCTGCCCATCACTGTACAGCACACTGAAACATTTCAGCAAATTCATTACTACACATTTCTATACTTACTTCCGTTAATATGATATCTTTCGTTCCAATATGAAACGCTGCCTTAGCTAGGATTTCCTCGGAAAGGAGGTAGTCGTGCAATGAACTAGAAGATACAAAGTTAATTCTCAATCATTCTAATGTGTAACATTTATCCTGATAAATGCTTCAAGTACATACTTTAGGACCTCCTCAGGCGCTCGTGGCAAAAGTTGGGCTAAAGAAATAGTCACAATTGTTGACGTGAGGTCATCGCCTTTTTTAATAAGCTCGGTGTTATCTTCTAGAGCGAATATCGGAGTCTCTATTCCCATCTCCTTCTGCCTCTGTCCCTCTCGAATGAGGTACGATTTATGAGTGAAGGCTTGATCCAATTTTTCCATGTCGAAGCTCTCGGACAAGCGTCTGTTAAAGGCAAAAATCTCGGCGAATCTGTTCCACTCGAGAAAGGCGTTGCGCTTCTGCGGCGGTTGCGGACCTAGCTTCCTCTTGCGGCTGGTTATTGCTATTTGCGTCGGCGCCACCCATCTCTTGATGCATCTCTGCCCTGACAAACGCGGGAGACAAAAATTGAAACAACTGCGAGACCAGGCAACTGTGGGCGTTTTCCAGCAAGGACACAATGTGACACAGTGTAACACTGCGAATCATTACATCCTTGTTGTTTGCCAATGTTAAACAAGGATGAAACGATTCACTGTGTTACACCGTGTCCTTGCTGGAAAAACGCCCTGCAATTGCTTTTATTCTAAAGCTAGGCCTCCATAGATGTGTTGTGCGGCAGCAACGTGGCAGCGCGAGTCGACCAGTCGAAAGCTTGCCGCAAGTTTTCCACGTTGAAATTGAAATCTTTCGATCCGTTGCCGCGGTCCAACGCGTTTGTGGAGTCTTAGCTTCAGGATTAAAATGCGTTATACCAGAGGCGAGCCTAACCTTCGTAATTCGCAGATCGCACACCTTTACTCAGGACAACAGTTCTAACGTACGAACGTAAGACGTTCATGTTCGAATGATAATTCCACTCGTCCAAGCTGCCTCCAAGGGACGAAACTGTAAGCCGTCGACAAATATCGGAGCAAACTTTAGTAGCTAGCCGGGGGTTAGCCGATCTCGGATTCTAAACAATTGCGCGATCGGTAAGCAGCGCAGTTTCCCCCGTCGTGTCGCACTGCCGCGAGAGGGCGTTAGCACACGTTGGATTCAATTTCTTATTCAATTTCTTATTCAATTTCTCGCTTTACAGAATGTCCACAGAACCAAATGTCGCGTTTGCCACACAAATTTAATGAAATGCAATACACGACGAAGCGCGGTAACGATATTTCACTTACCGTATTTCGATATGTATGTACAGTCGGTAACTCGCGCGCAGGAGTGCCCGGGAGCGTCCGGCAGGTGGCGGCAGCGCAGCTTACAATCTCGCGCGAGTTTTTTCCTTCCTCTTGCTCGGCGGCGGCGGCGGCGGCCACTGGACCGAAAGCGGTCGGCTCGGGATGCTGCATAAACGCGGCAACTGTGTGAGCGGTAATTGACAGCTGCCGAAAAGTCAACGGCGTCGGCGTCGGCGGTGAGTCGGCCGGTCGAGCACGCGCGCACGCTCGCGCGCGCGCGCGATCGTGCGCGACCGGGAAGGTCGGCGCGTACGCGCGCCGAGGGTGCGCGAGTGAATTTTCGAACGGACCGTCGTGTATCTCGCAATCAGTGGTGTATCTGCGCATCTCGCAGGGACATCTCACGCGGCTGCGCCCAACGCGGATCGGATCGGATCGGGTCGAGTCGCTTCGCGTCCCGTCGCGTCGCGTCGCGGAGCTCGCGCGACGCGCTGACCGTCCGCGGGAGAGAAAGAGAGAAAGAGAGACGACTTTTTAAAGGCCCGGGCATGTTTACAGTTTGACGCTCGCGCGTGTCGAGTGGCCGTTCCTTTCGGCCGCCCTTTCTCGTCCACCTTGTGCACTTTGAGCGCGCCGCGACAAAGCGCGGTCCCGCGGCGCTCGGCCTCGCTCGGCCGCCCCGAGGGGGCAAGATTCCTCTCCGGCACGATTTACGTTTGAATCGGGTCTCTTAAGCCGCGCCGAGTGTGTCGCGGAAATGGGGTCGAAGGGGACGCGTACGCGGCGATTCGCGCTCGCGAAAACGAACCCGCGGGGCACCGGCGACTCCGAGCGTCCCAAGTCGAAATAAATAACGGAACATCAGCGCGATTCCATTCCAAGTGTACCTCGCTTTCATCTTCGAGAGAGGCCTCACGTAAGCTGCCCGACTTGACGCGAAAGATCTCAAGATTCGGCGAGTTCGGTGGCAGGCAGTGAAATCGAGCCGCGTTTTATGTCATTTTTTTTCTTTGGCGTACCGCACGTTTCCGCGGATTTTGTCGATTGAGCTTGAAGGGCGGCGACAAATCGCGTCGGTAGACTAATGGACTTTTCTTGGCGATGTCTCGAGTTTGTCTCCCTTGACCGATCGAAAAAATTTATAGGCAATCGTGGGAAGTGCAGCTGAGAGGAACGGAGCCTGCCTCGCCTCGGACGGCAGCGAAACGGTGTCGAGCGAAACAAATTCATTCGCTGGAGAACGCGAACCTCGCGAGAAGCGCGGCTTGGTCCCCTCGGCCCTCCGGATATGTGCCCGACAGCGCGAGGATGTAGACACGTCTCTTTCTGTCAACGCGTTCAACAGCCCTTGGTGAGTCTCGCCCGACGCGTACTCGCGACGCTCTTTTCCCTCCAGGCCCGGCTTCACCGACGTCGCTTGACTTTGCGCTCAGCTTAATTCGCTCCTCGTCTCTTACCGATTGTTACTCTAGAAAGAGACGAACGTCAATTAAGCCAAGATTAACTGTTAAGCGACGTGCGGCGAAACCGGTCCTTAGCTCAATTCGTTCTTTGTCCCGTTCCAACTGTTAGAACTGTTTAGAAAGGGACAAACGTGAATTAAACCAAGATTAAGGTGAAACCTTACAGGCTAACTTTGTCCCTTCTTAAGGGAAACAGAAAGAGACGGATAGTGAATTAAGCTAAAGTTAAAGTTAAGCGAATTTGGGCCCGATTTCACCAACGTTGTTTAACTTCGAGCTTAGCTTAATTCGTTCTTTGTCTCGTTCCAACTGCTGTTTTAGAAAGAGACGAGCGTGAATTAAACCGGGATTAAAGTTAAGCGACATTTGGTGAAACCGGGCCGTAGGGCCCAATTTCACAAACGTCGGTTAACTGTTGACCAGAGCTCAGGCAACCTGGATTTAACGTTTGTCTCGCTTGGATAGCGGAAAATTAATTAAGTCAGCTTGCGAACAGCAAGTTGCTCGACACTCGCGGCTGTTAAAAGCGCTAAACTGTATGCGGAGACGCCAATCGTGAGACACGTTCTTTGTCAGCGCGCGCAGGAATGCGGGTGTGACGAAAATTATGCTCCTTAAATCTCGCTGCGAGTAATGTTTGCGGATCCTAAAACACGAGTCGTTAGAATCCCGTTAGGGAATGGCCCCTTCAATATTTATTCTACCTGCGACGGCTTTGATCGTACTTGAGCATCGCATTTGCCTACGCAAATATCCCACAGTTTAGATCTTTTCGAAGCCGAATCTTTATCCCCTTTATCGTCGTATCTCGTCCCTTTTACTTCCGTCTCCTCTCGTTGTCGCTTTGCTGTGCGTAATATGGAGGAGAGAGGCCGGAGAGGCAGCTGAACTTGTCGATTGAAATTAACCGCGAGAACAATACGCGTTGTCTCGTAAAATCGCGCGACCGAATGAAACTCGATGATGTCGATGGGACCGTGCCAGGTGTCGTATCACGCTCGCGGTCGAGAGAAAATATGAGAGAAAGAGAGAGAGAGGGGGGGGGGAGAATATGTAAATTTCGTACAGAGAGTAGAGGGACGAGGATTCGCGCGCGGATTCTTGCGAGGGACGGTAAGAAGGACGGACACACACACACACAAACACATACACATAGAAGGAGCAGGAGAGGAGGAGAGAACGAGAGCAAGAAGGAAAAAGCGCCACGGGGAGGTGCGAGGGATGCACGAGGCGCGGACGGAGGATATCGTGGCGAAGCGTGTCCGAGGGAAAGAGGGGGAGAAGTGGAGGGGGGGGGGGAGAAGAAGAGAAGCGAAGGAGAGAAGAGAGAGCTCGGTGTATAAGGTATAGGCTTCAGTTTGGGTAGCCCCTGGAATGTGGCGGTCGTGGGGCGGACGACCGCGTGCACGTCGCTTACACCGTGCCGCGTGTATGCGTGTATTCTCAATGCCGCGTGTATTACGGGGCCCCCAAGCCCCAACGCCGCGCCAAGATTGTACCGCGCCCCGAGCTCCGTCCGCGCGATCCTCCACCCTCCGAGGGCACGTCGGGGCGAGGGCCGTCGGTTGTCTCGCAGAGGCGCGAAGAAAATTGAGAAAATTTTCTCTCGAGCAATTAAGAAAAAGGACATTAACGGCCGCGACACACGAAAAAACTTAAGCCGTAAGACTTGTGGGAAGTAAGCGATGGCAGTCGAGAAACGTAGGCGGGTATTTTGAAGCTTAAGCAATGCTGGAAATTCCGATTGGTTGAAATTCTTAAGGCTTACTGCTTAAGTTTTTGCTCAGGTGTTTGCAGCTTCATTCGGATATGCACGGAAATGCGCGTAGAAACGTATCATACATGAAAAATTACAGTTAAATGAAAAGGAGACTGCGGTTCACGCTCAATTTGCACAGACGGAGTCCAATTGACTCCAAAATGTCTTTATAAGACATCCGGGAAATGCTGCGCCCAATTGACAATTGTGAAGACGTGACTCCGATTCCGAACACGTTTCCGTGTGTATGGGTACCCATACAGACGTGTAACGCGTTGTTCCGGGAATTCCTGGTGGACCCAGATCTTTCTCCGTGCGTGACTTCTCAAATACAACAAATACAACAGATTCCCTGCCCCTATTTTGCCTTTTTAGACACATTTACGGTCTTTTCTGAATAATTCATGGTTTATAATTTACGTCGTGTACACGGGGAGAGAATTTTCCTTTTAAAATTTATCCTGAAATATCTATGCAATATCTATGTAACATTACACTGCAATATTGCAATGTTTCTGAAATTTTTGGTGCTGCATGGACTGTATACGCAATTCCACTTTAATTTCACGTTTACTTAAAGGGGAGAAAAGTTACTTTTTCCGTTATAATTTCGCGGAATTTAGAGTGGACATGTTTTGCAGTGTAGAATGTATAGTAAAATTTCGAGAAAGTCATAAAATACTTTAAAATGCCATATTGTCCCACGATTACACGATTTTCAGGGCAAATTTGAAAGAAAAATTCTCCGTGTATAGTCGCGCGAGAACGAATTTGTGATACAAATAGGGAGGGAAAATCTATTTAATCAAAATTAACACTGTGTGACGTTGACGCAACAGGCTTAAAGGTCTGTAATCATTAGCTTTTTTTTTCGTTCGATCGGGACGAGCTGTCAGACTGAGGCTTGATAGCTTCGCTGCAATCGTCTCGATGTTCGTACGCTTTTCCGATTCGTCCGGATCTCAAGTTTTTGCTCGATCAACGTGCGATAGAGTGTTCATAGATACTTACATCGTATACCTTTTCACAACAGAACGCGTGTGCCTGCGTTGCACTTAAGATTGTAATCGTTATTGGAAGTAAATGGTTGAGCAATAACAAAGCACATTTTTATCATAAAAAATACATGTTACACACAAGTCCTCTATCTTTAATTTATCTTTAATGTGGCATAATTGGAAACTATACCACATACATGTACGTAACGCCATGGGGATTAAGTTAATTAAAGTGGGAAAAGATAATGTTACACGCATATAGTCAATGTTTTCCTTCGCGGGCTACCATATTCGCGTGACTGCTTTGTATGAAGCAGCAGGAGAGATTTTAACGGCGGGCCCGCGATAAGTGTCCCTTCCAAATAAACGGCATATTTCTCCGAGAATCTTCGATATCCAGTTCGCTTTTTGCAAAATCACTTAACGATTACCGGTTGACCCTGATTTTCTTCTGGCAAATGATAGGTTTACGCCGGGCACAACTTTACATTAGCGTACGCACCCGGTCCCTTCCAAGGTGTACCTGCACGTATATCCGGCCGATCGGTTAGAAAGGCAGATGTGTGCGAGACCAGTCGAGGTCAGTTAAATACACTTCGGGACACAAC